GGGTGGGGTTCCAAGGAACATAGATCCTTTAACTTAAGTCACCTCCCTTTGGTGTGACTTAAGCCAGATAATCCTGATGTGCATTTGGCCGGACATACAATCCTCTACTTCTATTCCAAAAAAAATCTCATTTCAAAAAAGAAAAACAGCCCCCTTGAGCATGACTTAACCATGCTCTATACCTTATGCTTGCATAAAATTCTGATGTTGTAGGTGTGTGTTGTGATACATATCTAATGCATAGCCTATTATACCCCACATGTTGCATATTATCATGTTACCTAGCATGTCATGTTGCTTGCCATCCTGCTTGGTGTAGCATGCATGCTTAGGTTGCAGCCACTGTCATGTTACATTCTTATGGCATGCTTATGTTGGGTTCACTTTAATTATGGATAATGCCATGCTTCTAGAGTTGAGGCTATGTTATGGTTAGTAATGTGGTAATAAGATAGAATGGCAACTATAGGAGACCATGCGTAGTTCGTGCATCGGTGTTTGTTCCACTCGAACCGACTAGGAGTTCTTGGGGGCTTGATTCAAGATTGAGGCCCCCTTGACCGGTACCCAAAAATTACAAACATTTCCAAGGGCCGCATGCTGGTTATATATTTGCTTCTTTGACGATTTTTCTTGTGGTTCAAATAGTTGGCGTTTTCATACTCCATGCTAGTGGAGACTTCAAGCTACTAAGGTTCTAGGATCACTAACATCCCGGTTGGGAGTCCACAAAGGAACAAGCCCATGAAGGACTATCAACCACTAAGAAGGAGCAATCAACCTATGCCATCATGGTGCACGACCACAAAGATCTACCCTCACTTGAGGTAGATCTTTACAAAGAGGTGATCTTCAAACCCATAAAAATTCTTGTGGTCTTCACAACTTGAAGACCCCCAATCACCTAGCCGATCTAGGAGGCACACACCCTCCAAAAGTAACAAGATTGAGGTTGCTTGGTGATGATTCCCTTGCACTTGTGCTTAAGAAGATAATCTCCTCCACACTCAATCTCTCTCAAGATATGGATTTTGGATTGGATAGGTAGGAGTGGAAAGCAAGGAGGGGATTAGAGATCAAAGACATGGCTTGATGGTTGGAGTAGAAAGCTCTTTGATTGGCATAACAAGGTGTTCTCCATCAGAAAATATGATGGGAGTGATGTTTGCTTTGAGTGAATTTATGGGGGTATAAATAGGCTGGACCAGAATCCTAATCATTACACACCTTTTAACATGGCTTAGAAGTTCCAAACAATGCTAAAGGTCATAACTTTCAAACGGCTTGGACAACCTAAGCTGGATTTGTTTGGAGGCTTTGCGTGAACTACCTCGCATGTGGCATACACTCTAGAACAACTTTGGAATTTCTGACGGGAGTCGTTCGGAGGTCCCAAGTAATATACATAAGATTTTCCCAACTAGCTTGGTGGTTCCGGATGGAATACATTGGTAGCTCCGAACATCCAGGTTTAGCAATGGTTATATCTGCATAATAGATTGGAGGGTCCGACTGGAAATGCTCGGCGGCTCCGAAGGAATGAAACTTAGATAGATATAGTGGAGAAATGAAAGTCTTTAGGGACTTGGAGTTCGATCTTTCAGCACATGGAGAAAGAAACTCAGCTTAGCAACCTCATTCCTCTTTTGATAGCATCGACATAACTATAAACTCAATGTGATCTTGGATTACTACTCCCTCCATTTCTAATTATAAGAAGTTCTAAGTTTTTTTTTCTGAATTTGATGTATATAAGAGTGTTTTAGCTTGTATGTTCACTCATTCTGGTCTGTATGTAGTCCATATTGAAATATCGAAAACATCTTGTATTAGTGAACAGATAGAGTATAATATAAAAGCTAAGTCCTTGGCTTGGCTAACAGTTGTCTTCTTGTAAATTTGTGGGGGCCACCTTTCATCTCCTTTGTTCAACCTAATGAAACTTCCTTGCTATAAAATAGTTACAACACTAGTTCATTTAGATATGGTGGCATTAATTACCAAAATCCACCAAGGGGACTAACTGAACTTTCACTTGAGGACAAGAAATGTTTTGTGGGGCAGTTGGCACATCCGTAGTAGCAGAGGCAAATTGGGCTTGGTGGTCATGAGTCATGGGTGAGCTGCAATGGACTTGTTCTAACCAAGGAGGCTACAAAGTGGCAAGCAAGGGAGGCTACAAGAGGCAATCAATGACAAGCAAAGGAGGAATTAAACAAAATAGACCTGGCTTGGCCTTCCCTCCGCCCAGTTCTTCCTTTTGTACCAGACGAGTGTACCATGTCTCGCTCCTCTACCTTTGACCTGTACTTTTCCATCCTTAACTCTCTTCTCTGGATTATACCTCCTCCGTGAACCTTGGTTTGATGAATCTAACTCATACACCGAGAACATTATATCCTCCTATTTCTTTCGCTTTAGGACTAATTTGTTCCATCCTGATATATGACTATGACACCTCTTCGATGTTGCCGATTGTCATCACGCACATCAAGGGTGGGGCCTTGGCATATATTTTGTGCAGGCAAAGTAATCATTCGAAACATTTACTTTCTTGCTATAATTCATGCCACACCGTTTTTGTAAATATCAAATTTCCGCTCTATTGATAGATTTGGCAAATATAAAAAAATCCCTGATTCTAGAGGTCTCATCCCAAAAACCCGTGCTTAGAATCATTTGAATGAAGGATCGAAGGTTTTCAGAAGAAAAAAACTTGAATTGTTCACATGCCTTTTTACAAAGCTTTATACTGCAATGCAATAGTGTTACAACCCAGATGCAACAACATGGGCATTCCATAGCAGGGACACTAAAGTGGAACAAGCTAAGGAAAAACGGCGACTGACGATAGAGGTGTCTGATGAAACAAAACATGTATCAAGGGACACTTATTCACAAGGGACTATGCAGTCCAAGCGTCACATGCATGCTGCTGGGCCACAATTATATAAGTCAGCCATTGGGGCTGGTGAGCGCATCCGGTGGATCATACAACTGAATCAAAGGGAGAATATTTGGTGCTACCGAGGCTCAGGTGCTCCCGTGATACGGCTCCTGAGCATCCGCACCGAGATATTCTTCCCCGAATCGAAGTACCCTGGAAGGGCGAACTACTTCTCCTCTCTCTCTCTCTATCTCGCTTGAATTCATGTTCTCTCTGTAGTTGTTCCTGTTGGTTGTGAAATCTATTCCCGGAGATTGAGAAATCTGTTCCTGGACATTGTGACAGTAGTTCCTGTGATCTGTGTGTAGTAGGATCGTAAGTCGTAACAAGTACAGTAGTCCCATAAGAACAGTAGGGTCAACGGTCATACTATGTATTTGCAGTATAAAGTTTTACTGGCGAGCCCCAATAAAACAGCTAAGCATAAACACTTGGTGAGCCTCTAAGCTTGAACACGAATCAGAAGAGCGTAAGCGTGAGACGGTTACAGGGGGGCACGTCGCCGTCGGGCCGGCTGCAGGGAAGGGCGCGCGCGACGAGTCTTCCCTTGCGCTTCTCCATGAACCGCTGCAGCGACGCCTTCCTCGCCATGGGCAGGTCGCCATCCGCCGCCGCGCAGCTCCCTCGCGGTGTGCCTGAGACAGCAGCGGCACGGAGCAGCTCGGCCGCCCTGTCGGCCGGGACCTCGTCGAGCACCAGCACCTGCCCGCTGTAGAAGATGGTCATCTGCGCGCTCGCCGGCGCAGGACCCGCCTCGTGGTCGTCTTGCAGCGCGGGAACTTCCGCTCCGGGCATGAGGGGGAGGACCACCGTGGCCGCCGGCCGCGCCTCCGCCGCCTTGATGCAACGGCTGAGAACGCCGCACGCTGCAGCGAACTGGAGGCCCTTAGCGCTCCCTGTCGCCGCCATTGCTTGCCGGTGGATCGATCGATCGGCCACCCTGTACGCTCTGGAAGCCTGGCGAGCTCGCAGTGCCTCTGCTAGTTGATCCGGTGTTGGTTGCAGGAATGATAATGATAAAACTGATGGATTAGGCGGTGGTGAGATGGGTTTGATTTATAGGAATCGCGTGTTTCCTGTAGGCTGTTGCTGTCAAATGCGGAGGCGATTTGATAATTTGCCACCCTTACTTCCCCCTTTCACAATTTGCCATCCATTGTCTCAATGACGGACGGGCCCGGGCCACACCTGTCATTCTAGGGGGGTGCGGCAAATTATGAAAGGGGAAGGTAAGGGATAGCAAATTGACGCGGGCTGTTTCTTTCTTTCTGGTTGCCTTTGGCACGAAGAACACGTGCGGGTCGACAGCACGATGGTTGCAACGTGGTGGATGGTACTCCCCTCGTGCCGCACGTTGAGTTGTTAATTCGGCGGCAGGCGGCAGGCGGCAGGCGGACAGATTAGAAATTGATGGACCAGATCCTTTCCCCGCTGCCGACTCTGGTGCAGCGGTACAAGAAGCCGAGGCCCCTCTGCTAACAACTAGAGTACGTATGAACTAAAACAGTGTCAGTACAAGGACATACTGTATATAAGTAAATACAGCGGAGTAAACGACGAGTAAATCTTAGTGGAGTTTTTTCATACACTAAGTTTTGGTCGTTTCTAGCCGATTCCTTAAGTACAACAGATTTTTTTATTACCAAATTCATTCCATTTTCGGATGCCAAACTATTTTTTTCATTTTCTTGAACGGCACATGGTATACTGAAATATATTATAATTCATCAATTCTTCGCTAAGAGAACTTATCTGAAGAAAATTACAAGAAAAATTACACACTTTAATAGAAATCCAGCTTTCATAACTGTTTCCACTAGTTGGATTAATACTTTATCTATGTCTTTATTGTCCATATTGTTAGGTTTCTCAATTGGCTTTTCGAGGTTGCACACTTCTTCCCTCTCTCCTCCACACAATTGGACATTACGTCGTATCGGGTCTCATCTCTAGTCTCTAATCTAGTAAATAGTGCACGAACATCTAGCAAATTTCTCGCTGGTCAACAGATTGATGTACTCTTCTTATTAATACCAAAAATCGCATCTATCCCACACACAATTTTAAGCAACAATAAGCTACGAATTGCGCCGAATCCGAAGAACAATCACACAAATAAACACTCACCCCGTCCTTTTTGCACTTGAAGAACACCCATCTGGAACGTTTCAGTGCGCTCAAAACTCAGTGTTGCACTAGTCGTGGCCATTCGTCACACTTATTGACGGATAGCGGGGAGCCGACGAGCTCCTGAGCTAGTACTGAGCTTGGCTGACAGCAGCAGTGCGTGACTGTGCCGGTGGCCAGTCGACCAGTGATATCCGAGCACCTAGAGGAGGAGGCCATACCAAGATGCGGCGGAGAGTCATTGCAGGGGCTGCACGAGTCTGTACCTGTTGAATCCATCCAAAACACGACGGTGCCGGTGGCCGGATTCGTCGAATCCGACGTCGATGGCGAGGGTCGTAGATCTGCCGATTTCGCCAACCTGTGACGGCAAGAGAGGCCTAAATCCAGGTGGGTGAGAGGCGTGGAGGGTCATACGGAGTGTCGGCAGTGGCGAGTGGTTCCGACGAAGGCGGGAAGGAGGCATCAAAGTAGATGCGGTGTGAGGGTGGGCTTGGTGTGGACGAGAGGGAAGACTTTTTGCTCGGGCGGGTGGGCAGGCGAGTAAAAATAGGCATCCATGAAGTCGAGAAGTACATTTTTTTCACTCTTCTAACCGGTTTAGAAGATCGGTTAGATGGAGATTAAGGAAGTAAAATTGAAATTTACTTCTCTATGACTTTTTAAAGGATCGGCTAGAGATGCATTAAGAGGGAGAGAATGTCGTGCTAGCTCACCGGCTTTTTTTGTCCCTTTTCTCTTGTATATAACAGGCCTTGCACGTGGTAATGGGCCAGCCAATATGCTGGTCATGACGTCCCCTGTTTTTTCCTTTTTCCTTTCTTATTTTTGTTTTTGCTTTTCCTTCTTTAACTTAGTCTGGGATTTCTAAAAAGTCCAAATTTGAAAAAGTTGCAAGTACTAAAAATATAGATACATCATAAAATATTTGTGAATTCAAAAAACATTCGAGAAATCATAAAATCTTCGTGATTTTTAAAAACTGTTCGCATATTATAAAAAATCACGATTTCAAAAACATGAATCAGAAAAATGTTCATCATTTTTAAAATACGATCGTGTATTCAAAACATATTCGGGAATTTGAAAACAATGTCCATGAAATTTTAGAAGATGTAAAAAAAAAAAACCAATTAGGAAGTAACGAACAAAACGAACCATCTCTTAGGTAGATGTTTTATTAGGGTATCTGTAGAGGTTGTTTTTTGATTTTATTTAGTCCCTCGCACATTGAGTAAAAAAAGGTTTTTGTGTTCTGTATAGTGCTGAGCCCCCAAAAAATTGACACATTTTGCTATGGGTTAGTTTTTGTAAGCTATATGAAAATGACTAAATGTCTATTTTGCCTTCATACACAGCTATTCTGGTACCACAGTTCTACTGGTTATGGAAAACACCACTACGCTAGATCAGGACGAGACACATCATGCATCAGTCTAGCTCAGGCAGGGGTCCATCAATATAGTTTGCTCAACAAAAAAATATTTCATTGTGGCGCCTTAGGAAATCAAATCGTGAGGAGACCGTCATATTTTCAGTTCTTGAAATGACTTTTTAAAAGTGCCTTCTCATTATGACATCACTCAGATATAGTTTGTGAAATGACGTACCGAGAATCCTTATCTCATCCTGCCATTTGATTCTGACTTTTTTTTATCTCTACCATATCTACATAATCTGATTGTTTTAATCTCATTGCAATGCACGTGCATATTTACTAGTAATAATTCAGATCAACTCTTGTTTCAAAAAAATAATAATTCAGATCAACAAGTTGGGCTCCAACAGTAGGCACACATTTGCTTGGACCGTCCCAAATTACAACAGCCATAATTTCTGTTCATGGTAATTTAGAGCGACGGGAACAGGCGAGTGGGTCAGCAATTTGGACTTCAACAGCAGCGTCGTATTTACATGGACCGTAATTTACTCAGGCTACTCTAATAGTACTAGTACGCATGAACACTTATCAGAGGGTAAGCGTGAGACGGTTACAGGAGGCCGCGTCGCCGTCGGGGCGGCTGTAGGGGACTGCGCGCGCGGCGACCCTTCCCTTGCGCTTCTCCATGAACCGCTGCAGCGACGCCTTCCTCGCCATCTGCCGCCTCGCCAGTCCCTCGCGTGGCGCCTGCTGCGGCAGCGACACGGAGCAGCTCGGCCGCCCTGTCGGCCAGGACCTCGTCCAGCACCAGCACCTGCCCGCCGTAGAAGATGGTCATCTGCGCGTGCCCCGGCGCAGGACCCACCGTGTGCTCGTCTTGCGCGGGCACTTCCGCTCCGGGCATGAGGGGGAGGACCACCGTGGCCGCCGGCCGCGCGTCCGCCGCCTTGATGCAGCGGCTGAGAACGCCGCACGCTGCGGCGAACCGTCGGCTCTGAGCGCTCCCTGACGCCGCCATTCTTGGCGCTCGATCGATTGACCCCGCTGTACGCTCTCAAACCCCCTGTCGGCTACTCGGCTCTGCCTCTGCTAGTGCTAGTTGATGGGGTGTTGTGTTCGTTGGAGGAACCGAGGAAGGAGATTGATGGACTGGATCACTGGAGACGTGAGATGGGTTTGATTTATAAGAATCGCGCGCGTCCTGTTGGCTGTTGCTGTCAAATGCGGGGAGGCGGGGTGTTTCTTTCTGGTAGTTGGAGGAAGGAAATTTCTGGCACGAAGAACACGTGCTGGTCGACCGCAATATAGTTTCAACGTGGTGGCTAAATGGTCCTAGTGGTGGCCCTCATGCTGCAGCGTTTAGTTGTTAAGGGCATGAACAATGAAGGCATCACCATGCAGCCTGCCCCATCTGCCATGTAGGTTAAGATCATTGTATAATTTTTCTTTTCCCAAAGCAGTCCCGAATAAGATCACGGACATGACAAGGAGTCTTGAAATGGTCGAGAGGTAAAAATTGATATATAGGACGATAGTATTCGGAACGCCAGAAGTGTTTCGGGG